GCGGTGGTTTGTGTGTAAGTTTGATTTTCCTATGGGTTCGGACAAACCCTTTTACCTCTTAACTTTCAATGTCCATAAACACAAAGTTGTACTTCTTCATCTTTCATGTCCATAAAACCCAAGTTGTACATTCCCTTCATCTTTCATGTCCCATAAACACAAAGTTTTTACATTTCTCATCCTTTCATGTCTCCATAAACCCCAAGTTGACATTTCTTCATCTTTCATGTTCCATAAACACAAGTTTCAACAATTCTTCATCCTTTCATGTCCTAAACACCAAGTTGTACATTCTCTCCAATCTTCAAGTCCATAAAACACAAAGTTTACATTCTTCATCCTTTCATGTCATTTCATGACTATATCTTTGTACATGAAAGAACAGTCATTGTTGCATAAACAATGAGGGTGATGAATGGTGAGTTATTTAGAGTCATTGCGTGCCTATTGATTTGAACACGATCCGTGTATCCATCATTTCCTGGTCTTCTCTAAAGAAGAGGGACCAATGAAAACGTTGTCATGTTGCCGTTGTTCAGCATGGAAACATTCATTAGCTAACAATGACATTATTGTTCTATGAATATAAAGGGAGGTCAGGTACTCTTTAAAACAGCTGCTAGTTATGGGTACTTTTTACTGAAGTACATTTCAAAGTTCTTTACTTTGACTTGAGTAAAGAAGTTTAGTCAGTACTTCTACTTTCACCAGAGTGTTTTTAAACAAGAGTATCTGTACTTCTACTTGAGTAAAGGATGTGTACTCTTGCCATCTGTGGTGCCGGTCCAAATGAAAGTGGAGAGGACACACAGGAACATTTAGGTCTGACAGGAAGAGGAGCATGATGAAGAAGAAGCAGCATTTCCAGATTGAAACGCTGACCTCTGAAATCTGTCACTGGGAATCTAACGGTTTCTTTCCTGCTTTTGCCAGCGCTACAAAACACAACATGAGTTTCGTTCGTATGATGTGGTTAAGAATAATAATCCATTTCCTCTGCGGTGTGAAGAATCAAAATAAAAGACTTGTACTTTCATAAATGGCCTCCTTTCTTATTGATTTTACCATGCTGACATTTGAGATGACTGCAACAAACTTGAAGGCCAATGGAGGATCTGCTTTAAATGGATATTTCCCGTGTGGATCGACGGTCTTTCATGACTTCGTTTCAGCAGCAACAACAACAGCTCTCAGCGTGTCGCAAGTTTCTTTTTGAACACTTTATCCACTGAGAGGACGCCGAGCACTCAAAGCCTGAGATTCCTGGTGATGCACAAAGAGAAGAAGTATAAACACAATGAGATGCACACGGCAGTTTGAAGAGCCAGACAGAGACAGGCGCTCCCGAGGGGTTTCATTCTTTTCTTTTCTCGCCATCACAAACAAACAAGAGGCGGTTCAGAGAGGGAGTCTAATTCAAAGTAGAACACGACACCAGCTTTCAACTGCCGGAGCCTTCGTCAGCATCTGATGGAGGTAAATGCTTGGGTTTGGTTGGTATTTTTGTTTTCTTTGACACAACAGATCAATTGTGCTGATTGAGGATGGTGGGAAATGAGAATTTAAACTTGCTGGTTGTTTAAAAAGGACTTTAACCGTTTGATATCTGCTCCACAAACACAAATGTGGCGCCTTTAAGGCTCGAGTTTATTTCTATCCATGAAAAAAGCATCGCATTAAATCCACATGTAAGTGAATAAGTGAGAGCATGAAGTGTGTGTTTGTTTCTGTGCGTGTGTGTGTGTGTGTGTGTGTGTGTGTGTGTGTGTGACCTTAGCAACTGAACAACTCTGATTATTCCTGGATATGGAGAAAATGGAAAAAATTTCCTCTTTGTTGAGGATAAAAATCAGCCACCTGCCTTCACACTTTCGCAAGATGGTTAGATGACATCATTTCCAATCGCACACACGCCGCACGCACGCACGCACGCACGCACGCACGCACGCACGCACGCACACACACACACACACACACACACACACACACACACACACACACACACACGGACAGACACACACACACACAGACACACACACACACACACACGCACACACACACACACACGCACACGCGCACAGACACACAGACACGCACAGACACACACACAGACACACATACGCACAAACACACACACACACACACACACACACACACACACACACACACACACACACACACACACACACACACACACACACACACACACACACACACACACACACACACGATACGATTTACACATTTTATTTTCCAATGAGAATGCACTACTTGCTACTACCTTTGACCCCTAACCCA